TGACCTTCCTGTCAGTTTGACACCTTCTTTTTGAACCCCTTCACCCACTCTTTCCTGGCTGTCCTGCTAATTTTCTTTCCTCCTTCATCAGCTCCTCTCCCCCCGCCCCTCTGTCTTTAAATGCTGTCTCGGGCATGCGCTGGGGTGGCAACTGTCCTTGGCTGTCTTCTCCTTCCCTTCTAGTACTCTCTGTAGGGACCCTCTTCTACAACCGTCGCCCCACCTTCCTTCTCTATCCCATACCTCTCCTCTGGGTGCACACTCACAGGCTCATTTATGAAAATGGACATTTCCATCAGCATTCCCCAAGATAGGTATATTAGTCATCTCTCACTATATAACAACTTACCCCCGAGCTTAACGGTCTAAAACAATAAACATTTATTCAGAGAATAAGGAATCTGGGAGAGACTTATCTGGGTGTTTCTAGCTCAGGATGTCATATGAAGTTAAAGTGAAAGTGTTGACCTGGGTCATAGTTATCTGCAAGGTTTGAGGGGCAGAAGGATCTTCCCCAAAAGAGTCTCATTTGCACAGCTGTTAATGGGGGGGGGGGAGCCTCAGCCCCTTCCCACACTGTAGACCTCCCCATCCAGGTGTTCCTGTGTCCTGCAGAGCATCCAAGAGAACGAGGAGGAGGAGAGTGCCCATCCTGGAATACTCCTTTCTAGTCAAGATGCAGCCTTCCCAGTTCCTGGGCGGTGTCAGAATAATTCACAGCCTTGTCATATGCTGCTCCCTCTTTTTGAAATATCCCCTTCCACTTAGCTCACCCAGGCTAACTCCAGTTCACTTTCAGCAACTGAGAACAGGAGCTGTGCTTCTCATCTCTGAATCTCACCATTTAACATGGAAACCACCTCAGAGGAGTTGTTCACCAAATGTTCACTGAATGAATAAAAGAGGGAGCTGGCAGCTGCTGAGTATCCGGGACCCCTGTGGCATGCTTGGTATGCAAGGAGCAGCTGGTCTAATCTCATTCACTTACCCCCTCAGACCACCTCTCCGGTCAATGACACAGGTGGAAAAAAACAAAGCCTGAATTCTTTCCTACCACCTTCCCTCCTGGGTCTGTGACCTTGGAAAAGTTACTTATTGTCTCTGAGCCTCTAGCCTTCATCTGCACTAAGGGTTAATAAAAAGGAGAGGAAAGGGTGAATCATTTACATTAATATTTATTAAGCCAGATACTATACAAGGCACTCTTAAATAAATTAGCATGAGTGATAGTTACACTACACCAGTGAGACAGACTTCATAGTAGTTAGGTAGGTAACTTGGACAAAGCTGGACAAAGACTTGGGTAAGTGACCAGATCATCGGCAATAGAAAGAATAGATGTGTATCCAATTCTCTTTCAGACCTAAACAACAGGGGATCTTATTTTCACAGTCATCTTCAGCCTCAGATCTCAAGGATGGTGGCTCTGCCTTGTCCCATCAGATCAAACACCTGGTGAGCACTGCATCCTACCTGGATGTCTAAGGCCCAGGGTTCCCCCAGCTGTTCCCAGAGACTATGCAGTGATCTCCAGCATTTCTTCTGCACCTTTACTCTAACCATTTTTACACCTGTTATGTCTTGCTAGATGAACTCCTTAAACTGAAATTTATTGACCAGATACTATACTGTGACCTCTTAAATAAATTAGCTTGAGTGAAAGTGGAAAGAAATGAGTCTTCCTATTTTCTAGGTGAAATAACTGAGGCTCCAAGTGATTCACCTGGGCCTCCCTGGTGGCACAGGGGTTAAAGTCAGAGCTGTCAAGCTATTGGAAACCACTGCCACAGGAGTTTGATCCCAGATCCCAGGTAGGCCAGGGAGGTGACCCACATGGCACAGTAGAACTGTCTCACCTGATGCTCCCCTCATCAGTGTATTTAAGTAGATCTACCTGTTCTGCTCCCCACTCTCTCTCTAGCAAATCCTTTTAGCCCTCCCCGACCCCACCCACCCACACCTCTGGCCTAAATCCTAGTTCTTGGCTGCATAAATAAATAAATTTTTGAAAGAAAATTAAAAATAAATATTAAAAAAAGTGATTCACCTAAAGCCACATGGTTATCACTTATCAACAGGAGGCCAATAGTACCCACCAGAGACTGACAAGTGAAGTGGGCATATTTTTCTAATTGGCTGGGAGGCAGAAAAGTATCACTGGGGAAAGACAGCCATCAGTATATCAAATAGACCTGAGCTCTGATCTGAGTTCCTTTGATTATAAAACTATTATAGTTTAAAAGAAAAAAAATGCAGACTTCAGAATAGGTCTTTTTTCAGAGCTGGTCTTCTAGTCCAAGACAAATAGATTAGGAGATCCTAGAGAACAGAAACTTATCTTTTTTTATATCCCTAGGACCTAACACAGTACTTAATACATGTTTGTTGACTTGAATGGGGGGCTTGGAAGGCAGGGACAGGAGACAGAACTTGACAGTTTAGATTTGAGGATGTAAGAAGAGAGTCTAGGAAGAGTTGGTTGAAGAGAGAGACCAAAGGCATTTCTGGTCCCAACTCCCTTACTTCAAGCCACCAGCAAATCCTCTAGAGGAACCGGGTGCTGTGGCTTTAAATGACTTCAGCTTTGTCAATGAATCCGCTCTGCTAAAAGAGTTATCCTCTTGCTCCTGCGCTTGGCCTCCCCCTCCTCTCAGCTCCCCAAACCCATCTCGGCCGCTGTGATGGGATAATTAGATGCGAGAGCTCAGCACAGATGATGCTCCAGTTGCTTAGCAACTAATGGTTTCCATGGAGACCGCAAAGCACAGCCTCCAGAGCAGCCAGTGAGCAGCTCGGCAGGGCAGGGAGAAGACGCAACTCTCAGCTCCTCCAGAAACCTGGGGAGGGCCAAGGGTGGGGAAGGGGGGGTTGGAGGGAGAAGGAGGGCTTAAAGGCACAGAGCCCTCTTAGCCCTTTAAAATCTGGCCAGAGCTCTGCCCTTCCTACCTTCCTCTGTCCCAGTCAGAATTGCAGAAGCGGGTGGGGGCTTAGGGGTAGACCCAGCACAACCTGCCCCGCAATAAAACTGGCATCTTCTGCCTGCTCCTTGATTTGTGCCTAAATGGGAAGAGATACCTCCCAAAGTCAGACTTCTGGGTTGGTGATGGGATTTGAAAAGCCCCAGACAGACCCCCTCACCCCTGAAATTCCATCATTTCGTCTCTTCCCACTCTCCAAAGTGTTCCTCAACATGTACAAGACCCTCTTTCAGTTTGTGAATGACAGCAGGAGCTGATCTAAAAGGAATCACAAGTCAAGGTGCAGGAAAAACAGAACACACCTCTTCACCCAGAGACACCTGTCCTGGGAGGCTGAGGGACACACCTGCTTGCGCCTGATGGCCATCAAAGAGGAGACCCCGTGGGAGTGGGGGGGGGTGCAGGGGACCAAAAGGGAGGGTCGCATCTGTTAACTGGAAGTGTGGGCCTCTCACACTGGCCATCAGTCTTACCTGCTACTGGTTAGAAAAGCAGAATTTCAGGCTTCACCTCAGACCTACTGAATCAGAAACTGGTGTCTCATCAAGATCCCTGGTGACTCACAGATTAAATGTGGAGGAGCACTGATCTCAGACCTCTTAGCCTCACCTGGGCCCCTGAGTTTTCTCTTTACTGTCACCCCTAGCTGGCACTGGCACCCCAGGCTTTGAAACTATCCTTCCCAACATGGGGTGGGAAGGACATGACCCCACTGGACCCTCCCTTCCCCACCAGGACCTTGTTCTTTCCTTGGGAGGCAGGGAAGAGACTGCTTATGGCACACCTACACTCCGCATCGAATCCATTTCCACTGTGACTCGGCCTCCCCACACCTCTGTTTCCACAACACAAGGAGCCAATAATATCATCTGTCCATGATGGGCGTGAGGCTGGGTCTGTGGGGCACCCCAAGCCGGTGCCTTCTCTTCTCATGACTCTACTCAGAACTCCTGAGCTGCTCTCTTAATTGAGTGGGCGATGCTGTGGAAGTTGTGCTTCTTTGTCATTTTTTCTCTCTCTCTTTTTTTTAAAGATTTATTTATTTATTCATACTGGGGTACAAGCCAGAGGTGCAGGGACGGTGAGAGGACTCACCAGAGACAGAGTGGGGGGCAGAACAGGCAGATTAAGGAAGCCCACTGCTGAGGGGAGCAGCGGGCGGGTCAGGAGAGGGCTGCCACGCCATGTGGTCACCTAGGGGCTGGGATGGAACTCACCCTGCAGTGGCTGTGGCCTGCTTGCAGTGCTGTGCTTTAACCCGCTGCGCCATCAGGGAGGGCCCCATTTCCTCTTATTAGGCTTCTTTCTGTGCTTTATTTCCAGTAGTTGAACAAATGGCTGCTGACCTGGGGTAACAGTACTCACCCCCACTCCACAGCTCTGTTTCTCTGGAAGACTTCCTTGGCCTCCCTCGGTTGGCTAAACTCTGCAGAAGCCTCTGATATCTGCCCACTCCCTGGCATGACACCCCTCGGCCTCTCCCAGGGCAGCAGTGTGCCCCCAGAGCTCATTCCCTGTCCCTCAGGAGCTATGCAGCCCTCACTCCCCAGTGCCAGTTACTGCCTCCCAGTCTTGCCCAGCCAAGGTCCTTTTAGGAGGCTCTGGGGGTTATTCTCCTCTTCCTGATGCCACAAGGGTGGGCGGTGGAGGGAAGCAGTCCTCTATAGGCTGGCCTCCAGATGCATGTGCAGGCAGGAACATATCTGCCTGTAAGGCAAAGTCCCAAAAGAGTTTGGGGGTGATTTCTACCCACAGCCTAGTTACCCTGCCCCTCTGCAGCTAAGTAAACCATCAAGATCCAGATGGGGCAAATCCCCTCCCAGGCATAAGGGCCAGCTCCCCATCCTGAAAAACCTGTCTGCCACTCCTCCCCCGAGGCCATAGGGCCCAAGGGGCAGGTTGGACAGGATTCCCTTCCAGCCCCTCCCACCCCTAGAACAAAATCAGTCACCCGCAGGGGCAGGGGCATCACTTGCCTTAGGAAGCTAGTCTGCCAGCCCCAGGTCCAGCTCCAGCCCAGCTATGGCATCCTTGCTAACAATTCGGACCACCTTGCCTTTGATCATGACTCTGCTGGCTCTTCTGGCCCCAGGGGCTGCAGGTCTCTGGAATCTCTGGAGTGGGTGGAGAGGGGCTTCTGGGGGGAGGTACTGTGCCTTCCAGGGCTCTCAAAGAGGAGCTGATCTGGCCTGTTGGGGGTGGGGGATGGTTATAGCAGTGACCAGGTAGCAATCCCTGGACCCAGGGCACATGCCCAGTCCTATTCCAGTCCCAGGAGGCAGGGGTGTGAGAAGGACCCGAGGCTGTGGTAGGGGTGAGGGTGGGTGCTGCCTGGGCCGGCTCCTGCCCCCGAGGCGGCTTGGCGGTTTCTGCAGCCCAAGACTGCCACCTGGCGGTCAGACCAGCAACGGCCTGTGATCCGCCGGAAGACGGCCGAGAGAAGGGGAGACGGGCAGGACTCTCATCCTCACTTGGCCCCAGTGGGGGGCGCCTGACCTGTGGGCCTGGGATGGAAGTGATTCCTGCCCTGAGCTTGCTCCTGGCCCCTCAGCTGACTTCAACATCTCCAGCCTCTCCGGTCTGTTGTCCCCCGCGCTAACAGAGAGCCTGCTAGTTGCCTTGCCCCCCTGTCACCTGACAGGGGGCAATGCCACACTGATGGTCCGGAGAGCCAATGACAGCAAAGGTTGGCTACCCCCTCCCCAGGTTCCTCCCTAGTCCCTGGGACCCCTTCCTGAACACCCAGCATCCTTTCTTCCCCTGGCCTCTTCCCATGTACTTAACCCTCTCCTTGGGGTGCTCTCCTTATTCTGTGGGGCCTCCAGAATTTTGACTCTGCCTTTCACCCCTAATTTTCCTGACCAGTGGTGAAATGCAGCTTTGTGGTGCCTCCATGCCGTGGGCGCAGGGAACTGGTGAGTGTGGTGGACAGTGGGGCTGGCTTCTCCGTCACACGGCTCAATGCATACCAGGTGACAAACCTCTCGCCAGGAACCAAATACTAGTAGGTACCAGATCCAGGCCTGGAGCACCTGTGGGAGGAAGTAGGGGAGGAGAAACCAGGTTCTGACACTTGCGAGGTGGGGGGCACTTGGGGAGAGGGTGAGGGCACAGCTGAAGGAGTCAAGAATGGGCCTCTCTCAGAGGAGGGCACATGGGAGGAGCTGCTGTGAGGGGTGGCGGGCTCCCACTTCCCCCAAGTCTCATGTGCTCACTGAGGGTTCTTTTGTCAAACCTCCCCCAAAAGCCTTTCCTACCTAGTGATGAAGGGAACATCCACTGAGTCCAGTAAAGAGATCCCAGTGTTCACACTTGCGCGTAAGTAACATTTCTGGGTCCTCAAGTTCTGGCCTCTCCCACCCACTTTGCTCCCTGAACACCTTGGCTCACATTCTAGCCTGAGTCACTGGCATTTGACTTGCCTATTGATTCCTCTGCCATCACTACTGAACTAAAGCTTCTTGGGGGCAGGGATTATGTGTCAGTGATTTCTATATCCTTGGTGAGTGACGAAGGAGAGGCCTCCTACATGTTAATTTGATGGATGCAGGGACCCCTCTTGACTGGTTGGTTGGTTGGTTGGTTGGTTGGTTGGATGGATGGATGGTTGGTTAGTTGGATGAAAAAATGGATAAAGGGATAGCTGGAGGGAAAGGCTGACTAAGGAGTTAGACTGAAAACATCAGGCACCACAGGAGTCTCTCCTGCTTACAAAGGCCTCCCCTCCTCTCCTCTGACAGGAAAGAAAAAGGAATCCATTGGGCTGGGAATGGCTCGGACAGGAGGCATGGTGGTCATCACAGTGCTGCTCTCCGTCGCCATGTTCCTGCTGGTTCTGAACTTCATCATTGCCCTGGCACTGGGTGCCCGAAAGTGAGGGGGCACAGGCTCCTCCAGGAAGTCCAGGGCACACCTGTCTCCCAGTCCAGGGCTTAGCCTTCAGCACCTGTCCCCTCTCCTGAGGGCTCCCAGGCCTCAGTCAACTCAGTCAACCAACTTTGGCTCCTCTATGCTTCTTCCCCAGCCCTCTCCAGCTGTCTCCTGGAGCCCTTTCCTCCCTGTCTCTTGGGTCCCCCAATGCCTCATCTTTAGCCAACACTCCCTACTAGTCCCCTCATCCCAATCCTGTCAAAACTGACATTCTTCCCATTTGACCACTTTAATTCCCACCAACAACTCAGCCCTCCCTGGGTGAACAAAGTAGCTACAATAAAGTCTGATGCCACATCTGCTGTGTGTTCCCCTCCTGTGGGCTCCACTTGGGTATCAATCTTCAGAATCTATGCCCAGTTTGCAGGTGCCTTCAGGCTCCTCCTACTCTGAACCCCAGAGTTGTTTTTCCTAGGAGGCAGGAAGGGGCCAGAAGAGATAAGAACCCAGGAGTCAGAGTTCTCAGAAGCACACCTGGGCTGTGGGTTTGCAGCTTCCCCAGCAGGCCGCGGGGCCGGGGCCAGGCTATGGGTGGGGCCTGAGGCCCTGTGAGGGGATGGGAAGGTAAGGTGGTGCGTGTGGGGCTGGCAGAGTTGAGGGGAAGTGGTGGGGCTAAGAGTAGCTCTGACCAGGAAAAAACAGAGGGTTGCCAGGGTAAGTTCCAAGGACAGGGTCCCAGGTGGCAGGAGGGAGTAGAGAATAGACTAACAGGACTCTGGGGGGAAAGGAGAGAAAAACCATGGGTGGGATGGAGCAAGAGACTAGAATTTGGTAACTGAGAAAAGAGCTGGAGTGGTTTCCCTTGTTCACTTTCGTCCTTACCACTATATATTCCTTAGAAGGACTGGTGATCTTTGTCTAGCTCACTCACAGGTAAAGACCAAAACCTTTACAGTAGCTTTCAAGGTCAATCCCTTCTCTTCCTTTACTGCCCCTTAACTCTCATTTGTTCCCTCCAGTGCCATGTGTTTCCTCTTGCCTCCGGCCCTTAGCACAAGCTAATCCATTTGCCAGGTCCTTCTGTGGACACCCCACTTCCACCCACTCCTGCTGCATGGTTAACCCAGTTCCTGCAAGGAAGCCTTCTCTCTGTCCCCCATTAGGGGGGAGGTCTTTGATCCTGTCTTTCATAGTATTACTGTGGTTTATAGTCACGTGTTTACAGGCTTATTCAGTTGTCTCCCCCATGGACTGTAGGTAGCCCAGGAGTTCTTGCTTTGCTCCCAAGGGCCTATATGTATATATGATTATACATATATATATATATATATATATATATATGGGGGGGGGTGTGGGTGTGGGTGAATTAAAAGAAAAGTGAATTAGGAGGTAAGTATGTACTGGGGGTGAACAAACAGTGGGGTCCCGCTTTATTGGAGTGACACAACTGAGCTTGAAAGCAGTTGGTTCCCAGGAAAAGGGGAAGTTCCAGGTTCCCTGCCCCACCCAGAAGGAGGGTGGAGCAGAGCAGAGAAGAGAAGGAATCTGAAGAAGGAAGCGGGATGGAGAGCCAGAAGGAGACCTGAGGAATGAGACCTGCTCCACATGAAGCAGGGAGCATGTGATGAAGAAACCGTGCTTGTTTCTTGGCCCTGGACTGGTTGAAACAGATGTGGGTGAGAGACATGTGGGGAGGTTGACTATGGCAGCTTTTATCTTAATTTTAATTTTGCTCTTTTCCTCCCAGACTTGTCTGGCCATGTGTGACCCTTTTCAATGGGTCCTGGCCAGAAGGTGCTTTAGTCTTGTGGCGGGCTTTCAGGCCTTGCTTTGGGCCAATCCCTTTTGGGTTGACTTTTACCCACAAGGGGATGAGTAACTTCAGGTGTTTACTTAGAAATTATATTCTTTGTCTTTTCCATATAGTATACTTATTGTATTAAATTTCCTTTCCATTAAAACTCTTATGTCTTGTACTGATGCGGTGGATGGCAGAAACTATTTAGAGCAGGCAGGTTTGAGGGTTCAGGGATGCCTTCTCTTCCTTCCCTATAACAAGCTGAGGCCCCAAGTCAGGAGAGAGGCTGGAGAGAACACACCTTGCAGAGAGAATGTGGAGGATAAGCTCCCCAATTCTAGCTCCCAGCAGAGGGAGGATGGGGAGCTGAACCTCCTTGTGTTTTGAGAGCCAAACTACATGCATTGCACATTAGAATCATCTAGAAGGCTTTTAGTTTAAAAATTTTGGCAATTAAAAATAACTATCATGGGCCCTTCCTGGTGGCACAGTGGGTTAAAGCACAGCACTAAGCTAAAGCCACTTCAGCATGAGTTCAACCCCCACCTGCCCCAGAGGTGACCACATGGCAAGGCAGCCTCTCCTCGCCCGCTGCTCCCCTCAGCAGTGTGCTTGTCAGTCAGCCCGTTCTGCTCCCCACTCTGTCTTTGGTGAATCCTCTCACCGCCCCTGGGCCTCTGGCCTGTGCCCCAGTTCTGTGTGCACATATAAATAAATCTTTAAAAAAAAAAAACAACTATCATGGGCTCTCCCTGGCGGCACTAGGAGTTAAGTCTCTGCACTGAATGTATAAGCAGCTATTGCAGTGCAAGGTCGACCCCTGGCCAGGGAGGTGACACACATGATGCAGCAGACCTTTCCTGTCCTGCCTGCTGCTCCCCTCAGCAGTATATTTCAATCATTCTGCCTGTTTTGCTCCCCACTCTGTCTCTGGCGAATCCCCTCACCCTCCACACCTCTGGCTTGCACCCCAGATCTTATATGCATAAATAAATCTTTAAAAAATATTTTATCATTAGTGACAGATAATAACATATACATCAAAATTCAACCTTTAAAGTACACCTGGGGGGGGGGTTAATGACCACAATGCCCAGGTGAAATATTGTGATTTGTAAGAAAAAAATATATAATTGGTCGCTCAGATGACCAATATATTTATTTGGCCTTCCTTCAGGTTTCAGTCTCCTGGCTCCCAAAATCCTAGTGATTTCTTAAGTGGAATGTGATTATAAAGGTGGTTTTTGTTATGCTAATAATGTTTGCATTTGTTTTGTTGTGTTAATCAAGCTGCTTTTGGACCCACTAAGGATGGATTAGAGGGTTGAAACTTTCAGTTCCACCCTGACCTCCAGGGAGGAATGAATCTTATGGCCCGTGTGTGAATCAATGATGACTAATGACACCTCCGTAAAAATCCCAAAAGGATGGCGTTCTGTGAGCTTCTGGGTTGGTGAAAAACTGTTGATTTGGGAAGCGCATTCCTTGGGGAGCATATGGAAACTCGGCACCCCTTTCCACGCACCTCACCTTGTACATCTCTACTTCCACTGGGTTGTTCCCGAATTATATCCTTTTGTAATAAACTTGTAATCTAGTAAGTAAACTTTCTTTAAATTCTGTGAGTCGCTCTAACAAATCATTTACTTGAAACAGATGCCAGAGCTATGGGAACCTCTGCTTTTCAACGAGTCAGTCAGAAGCACCCGGGGTTTGCAACTGGCATCTGAAGTTGGGGGGCAGAGGTGAACTCTTGAAGACTGAACCCTTGATTTGTGTAACATAATGCTTTCCCTTATAAGTGTTATAATTTTAAAAAAAGATTTATTTATGCATGCATGCATACAAGAGCTGGTGTGCAGACTGGAGGTACAGGGGTATGAGAGGATTCACCAGAGACAGAGTGGGAAGCAGAACAGGCAGATTGACTGAAATACACTGCTGAGGGGAACAGTGGGCAAGAGAGGGGAGGTCTGCTGCACCTTGTGGGTCACCTTCCTAGACTGTTGATAGTTTCATAGTGCTGAGACAACTTCTGGTGCCAAAAGAGAGAGAGCCAGATAGTATTAGAATTGAGTTGAATGTAGGGTACCCAGCTGATGTCCATAAAACTGCTTACTGTATATAGGGGTACTCCCCACCCATCCCCACATTTGGAAGGGGGTGATCAGGACACAAAAAGAAAAATTCAGGACACCCTTCCTAAATCAGATTGACTCAGAGTGGAAGCCATACACTGGTATTTTTTAAAGCTCCCAGAAGATTCTACCTTGCAGCAAAGTTTGTAATTACTGATACTAACATTTTTTTCCTAATTTAATTGTTTAATGTTTTTATAGTGTGACAAAGCAAATATCACAGCTCTTGTCCCAAGTCTGCCTGTGTCTATGCTGGTGTCTCATAAACCTGTGCTTTTCAGATGCAGCTTTCTGTCCCTTCGTATATATTTCTCTTTGTCCTAATAAACCAGACCTTTTAAAATTAATTTTTTTTTACCGTTTTAACCATTATATTTAACAGTTCAGTGGCATTCATATTTTGTGCAACTATCTCTATCCATCTCCAGGAATTTTTCACCATCTCAAACAGAAACTCTGTGCCCATTAAACAATAATTCCCTATTCCTCTCTTCCCCACCGATGGCAACCACTGCTCCACTTTCTAACTCTGAATTTAGCTATCCTACCTATCTTGTAAACATAAACATAAAAGTGGAATTATGGAAAATTTGTCCTTTTGTGTGTGGTTTATTTCACTTAGCATAATGTTTTCAAGGTTCATATTATAGCATATATCTGAATTTTGTCAGCCATCCCAATGAATGAGAACTAGGGTCTCACTGTATCTGTACTAGATGATAATAGATATACTAATAGAGATTAATATATCTGTAGTAAAACACTGAACATCTTTTTCATGTCTTATTGGATATTTTTATATCTTTGGAAAATATCTTCAAGTCTTTTGTCCATTTTTATACTGGATTGTTTTTTGATGAATTGTAGGAATTTTTCTCTCCATATATAGATACTAATCCTCATAAGTTATATGATTTGCTTTACATGAATTTTCTTATACAGTATACTTATTTAAAGAGGGTTATATAAGGGTAGCTGTGTTACAAAAACAGTTTTTTACCAAAAAAATGAAACAGCCATAATGTAAAAAAAAGAACTTTTGTTGTACTCTTTTTTTCCTTTGCCCTTTCTATCTGTCCAAGCTTTCTGCATCAAGCATGTATTTTATAATTAGAGAAACAGTCGCTAAAGTATTATTTTTGATATTAAAGGTAGTGTTCTAGTAAACTTTTAGAAGTGACTGTTTTCACTGTATGAAAAAACACATTTATTAAAGAAGGTCTCCTACCTATATGCCAGGTAAAACTCACAGTTTCCTGTGTAGTACACAAGCAACAGGAATCACCCTACAGAGTGGACAAGCACTGACATCAAATCCAGGAAGCCACAGTAGGCAGCAGAGGGAGCTGCCTCACCCACTGGTCAAACCTGGGACAACTTGAGGATTAAAAGACACAATGGTAGTAATGAGTTACAATCCACTCAAAGAAGAATCCTTTGAGTCCATACAGATAACAAAGGTTGGATAAAGAAAAGCTCATTTAGTAGAATGGATCTAAATAACTGGGGGGAATGACAGATTTAGAAAAACCATGATTTTTACACCCATCATACTAATGATCCATTTAGCATCCTTGGATGCTAGAATTGATGGGCCCAAACTTGATAAGGAATAGGAATTTAGGACCTTTCAAAGTGTCTTCCTACAAATTGTTTACTATTTACAAAAGGGGAGAAATGGTTATCACCAAACCCAGGGATCAAAATTTAATGTCACTAATGAGACATACTGATACCACATGACTCTTAGAGGTAGTAAGAAACAAGACTCATGGTATTCTTGCCAAAAATGCAACTAAGGAAAATTCTACAAAATAAGTGACTTTTATTTTTCAAAAATATCAGCGTTAGGAGACTAAAAAAGGGTGTAAACTGCTCTAGATTAAAGAAATGTGAAAATTAAATCCATTTCATTGTCCTGAATTGGATCCTGGCCCAGAAAACAAATTTACATAAAGGACACTATTGGGCCAATTCGTATAATATGGAAAATACTGTACATTAAATTAGGATGAATCTCTGTTAAATTTTCTGATTTTGACAATTTTCAATTTTTTTCTGATTATGAGCCAATACCCTTGTTTTTAGGAAATATATACTTAAGTATTTACAGGTAAAGGGCCATGTTCACCAAAAAAAATGGATATTTGTCCTTATGTGTGGAGAGAAAAATGTAATCAAATGCTAATGATGGCATAAATGGGTGAATTAGAAAATTTAGGTATACAGGAATTTTTAAATATTGCAATTTTTCTGTAAATTTGAAACTATTAAAAGCAATTTAAAAAATAATCACTTAATTCCATCTCCAGCTACAACACATGTGGTTTTAGATAAACCCTAAAACCTTTCAGTGCTTCTAGAAATTAGCTGTCTGGAGCTGGTTTTTAAATGGTAGCTAAACTGTTAAAGCGAGTTGTGCAGAAGAGGGTCTGAGCTTCCTCCCTTCCGTAGCCCCAAGGTCCCTTACCAGAAGGAAAGCCTGGGCGAGTGCAGGAGCGCCTGGCGCGGACCCCTCCGCGGAGTTAAGGTGCAGGCGTCGAGTGGGGCTGCACACCTGAGTCGCCTCAATCAGTCCAAGTCAATCAGAGCTGGAGTCAGGATTTGAGGAAGCGCTCAGCGGAGAGGCCTCAGCCTCAGTCTCTCCCGGGAAGCTCCCAACTTTTGCCGGCTTAGCGCGCAGCTCCCTAAAGGTGGACCTGAAACTCCAAAACCTCGACTTCTGGGCCAGCCTCCATGGCCAAGTACCAGGCCTTCTGGACTGGGACATGGGGAACGAGCTCTTTCTGGCCTTCACCACCTCGCACCTGTCCCCAGGCGAGCAGAAACGTGAGTGCCCGGCTGGTGGGGGAGGGGCGGCCGCCCGTAGATGGGGGTCTCCGGTGGCGTACCCAGCCCCCCCATCCCAGCCTTGGATCTCCTCCCCACTCAGGACCAGCTGGGGTGAAAAGACTGCTCGAATCTGGAGACCTTAAAGCCCCCCCTTATGGCGTTCCGTAACCCCCAGCCCCACCCCCACCCCCACTTCACTGGTGGCCATACCCCGCTCCTAGACTGAAAGCCCGCTGAAGGCAGTGGGTTACACAGCGCCTCTAAACTCTACCCCACTGGCCCTGCTGCTTCTAGAACTTTCTAGGCCTCTTTTGAGCTTTTCTCCATGGCGCGCTAACGCCATTTGACGATGTTTTACTTGTTTTCCTATTTAAAAAAAAAAACCAAACAAACAAACCTCAGGGCTGTACGTGGCTGTACCCTCACCTCTTAATGCATTGCCTGGCATCTAGAAGTGCTCATTATTTGCTGAATGGGTGGTTGACGGTGGTGGACTTTTTAAAAATGTTTTATTCTTTTTCGACTTGAAATGCAAGAGTTGGAGTATCACCTCTGTGGGTATATAGTTTTGCCTCTGTTTAGGTATGTGTATCTTTGAAAGGTATTTAGCATTATTGTGTGTATTGGTGACTTAATTTCTGTAATGCGCCTTGCTTTCCCCCCTCCCTGCTCACTGTTTTTTAGAGCTGTTCCTGTTGAGTGCAGCTCCACTGTCATCACTTGGGACGGCTGTGTAGTAGTCCCTATTTGCTTACACAGCTTTTGCATTTATTCTAGACTGCCTCAACTCCTTGCCCAGGGGCCATGCTAATCTTCTCTGTGAGGCTCCACTTTTAGTTTACGTGCTGCCCAAGCGTGCACTGCCTCCCACTCTTTGCCACCATAAGCAGTGCTGCTGGACAATTTCTATATCTAGGGAGGCCTGGTGTTGAGGAAAGGCTTCCTGTTGGACAAGTTTGGGGGAAGATCGAGATTTTTGGTGAGCATGCTGAGTGGGAGCTACTTTTTAGGTATCACAGTAAAATGAGTGAGCAAGTGAATGCATAAGCCTGGAGTCTGGAGACACATGTACACTACAGATATAAATTTTGAGTCTTTGGTATAAGGGTGTCATTTAAGAAGTGAGACTGGAGAGACACTCACACCTCTAAGGCCATTTCATTGTAAAGATTGTAAAGATTGAAGGTGAGATAATAAGCAAAAACTGAGGAAACAGCCATTGAGAATCCAAATCAAGGTTTGCCCTCTCCTAGAAACCAAGAAAAGAAAGAATTTTAGGGAAAGGAGTGGTCAGCTAAGGGAATGGTACGTAGGCAGATAAGATGGCTGACTACTGGATTTAGTGGAGACAGTTCAGTGAGTTCTTTCAAGGAGTTCTGCCTGCCTCAAAAGAAAGCAAAAATATACAATAGAGGTCTGGCACAGAAAGTAAGGAAAAAAGAAGTTCTAGTTTTCATAAAAGAAGACAATAGCATTCTTGAATGCTGCTGAAAATGACTCAGTAAAGACAAAGATCTTTGGAACACTGTCCCTGTTTGGAAGGAGGGAAAGACACAACAGACAGGCCCTATCTTTGAGACCATTCATCTGATAATCTTGTCACACTTTTATTCTATCCCTTCAGTCACTTCTTTAACTTGGAATCCCACCTAGTTTTCTGGCTTACCATCGATTCTTTGGCCCTCTATGGCTTTGGAGCATTGCTGGGCCAGATCACAAGCCCAATTTAATCCAAGTCTACTGAACATATCTGCAAAACCATAGATAAATGGATTGGTAATACCAAGGCATCAAAGGATAGATTAAGAGGGAGCTAGCTAGCAAAATTGCAGCTGGCACATTTTTATGTGGTACAAAAATGAGAGATTGGAAAGGACAAAATAGAGAGGCTGCAGTTACTGGTTTAATTTGACAGTGAGAGAGGAAGTGTCTCAAGTAGGATAGAAAGCCAAGTTTTTGGAGAAGAATTCAAGGAACTAAGAAACCAAAGATTTGAAGCATGGGTAGTGTTAGGGACTGCAAGTAGAGAGTTAGACTCCTGTAAAAGAGCATGAGTGAAGGAGAGTTTGGTAGATGACAGTAACAGCAAGGTTAATGCATGAATTCCTGTGTCAGTGTGAAGGTACACATCCAGTAGACAGCTAAGTAGGGT